GGTCTTCTTTTTCCTAATTGATTGGATATTTCTTTGAAGTGTTATTTTTGGTAGTTGGAGTTTTAGGATCATGGACATGTTTTCAAATTTGCATATTTCTTGTCAGATACAACTGATGAGCCACCTCTAGAATAATGGTACGACAAAGGGTACTTTTGGTTATACAAATATATTTTATGGGCTTTTTAGAATTTTGGTTCAACTTTATTGCAGACACGTATTTTATTCGTCGGGTACAACTCTGCCTTGATTTTCACGCGCTCCACTATTTTGGCCATTTCATCTTCTTCATGAGCCTATTTATTTTCATTCTTTGTAATGTTCCTGCTCTCTTCACTTATGGTCATGCTTATATTCACGCCTTCATTTTTTTATTTTATTCTATTTTTCCCTCTCCACTTTCATGCTCCGACTGAATTTACCTAGGTGAGTTTTCTTTTTAATTTTTCGATTGATTTCTGGGTCTTCTTTCTCCTAATTGATTGGATATTTCTTTGAAGTGTTGTTTTTGGTAGTTGAAGTTTTAGGATCACCCACATGTTTTCAAAGTTGCATATTTCTTGTTAGATGCAACTGATGAGCCACCTCTAGTTCTACAAGTTTCACACTTTCTTCATCTTTAATTTCCTCTTACCTATCTCTTTCTCTATCTTCTCCATTGGAGTTTATAGTATTCTGGTGAGTATTTTGTGTTTGGTATTTTCCTTTGTTTGTCCTTTCTTATTTCTTTATCAATCTTTTTTTGGTTTTCTATTTTGTTCGTTTGTATTGTTAAATTATCTTTCGGGTCTTCTGTGTACATGCAGCTATGGATACACTCTCCAAAATACACGTGCATCCTGATAAAATCCAAAAGCCTAAGGACAGAATGAAGAGAATATTTCTGGTGAGAATGTAAACCGTTGGTTCAAATCAGCTAATCCAAACGGGCTCTTAGACTATTGATTTGGAATCTTCATTTACCTATAAAGTTACATTTGCATTTGATCTTTATTTTTCTTTTTAATGCAATGTATAAGTGGATTTTTGGTCTACAACTACAAGTGTTTAATTTTTCCTCCTTTTTAAAAATTTTCTGGGTAGATTCTACTAAGTTTCCCTCTCAATAGAAATGCTAATTTAAAGGGAAGAACTTTGTTGCACTTAAGGTGTTCGACGATATGATTAAAAAAACTGAGTAATATTCTACCATTTCTTTTCCCATAGGTGAATTTATCACAAGTATCTATCCTTTTGTAAGGCCAGAAATTTTGATTGCACAAATATAGGTCATTTGAAAGATGTTTCGGTAACTGTAGGTATGGTAGTGAAATATTTAGCATATCCTTTACTGGGATGTGTTGGAAAATTCATTTGTATCTAAAAAGATGAAGCCTTTTCATGAAAGAAAATGAATATGGATAATTCTCTAATGGTGCCCTGCATTTTGACTGTGCTGCAATTAGTAATATTAATTTGTCAGGAATTCATCATTAGCAGAAAGCTCTCATTTTAGTTGTTTATCTGGAGTATCTATTTATATGATAAGGTATACACGATTAATTACATTAATTTTCTCTTCTTTTCATTTGATATCTAGGTCAATATAAATGTGTATACACACAAACCTTCTTATATATTTGTCACCCTAACGGTGTTTAAATGCAGTACTTGTCATAACTTTGAACTCCTTGTTTGCCTTTATTTTATTGTATAAATGAAATATGTTTTTTTGTACTGGTTTTTCTTCATGAAATGTGGCTTCTAAAACTAGGTTGTTTTAGTATATTATAACGCAAGGTGGACTCATTGACTCCCCAGTAGTTTATGCAGCACCAAGGTAATATTATGTTTTGGTGTCATTCAGATGCATGGTCTGTTTGATAGTGAACTGCGGACAGCTCATATTAAGAGGTAAGAGAAAGAAGTTTTTGCTTCCTTAATAAACTATAAGAGTTCTTCCGGTTACTTTAATTTTGATATTAATGGTCATAATATTGTATTTACTGCGATTTCGATATCTATAGTATATAAAAGGAGTGGATGGTTCCTACTGGTTTCTGAAACATTGGTGTATATTCATGAGAAAATGGCTGCAAGAAAACATAAACGTAGCTTGAGAGAACTTTGTTATAAAAAAAGCTTTTTGGATGTTTGAGTAATAAAGTGATCTTTTCTTTTCCATTTTCAATGTAATTGTTTCTTCTAGGATAATTATGTATTACATATACTTCTGATATTGAGTATTTTAAGTTTTCATATTAAAGAGTTATGTACATAAAGAATCTCCTTTATTGTCGACAAGTTTGACTGACTGTTAGCTTTCCAAAAGCAAAGGTGATTAGGTTGCAGGGTACATGAATGTATTAGTCTATGGTTAGATATTTATCCTTTTTAAGGTTCTCAAAAATGAAAGACTGCCGTAAATCCTTTACAAAGTCCAGGTAAATGCTTCATCCCAGTGAAAAAGCACATGAAGAAACTGAAGTCTCAATTTGACTTGTCAGGCAGTTTGAAATTATCGAAATATTATTTTCTGCAGGAATGAACTATTAATATTGTAGATGAATTTTTGTTATGCTCGCAAACTTTTCATGATCATGATTGTGCCATTTTTAAAACATAGAGAAAATGAATACTGGTAAAGCTGAAACTGAAAATTACCTGGGTAATTCTGCTATTACTTACACTTTGTGATTTAGTTTTGACATTCTTATCAATAAGAATCTCTTTGTGCCTCATTAGTCTCTGGCCTTGCCATTAGTTGGAGCAATCCTCTCCATAACGTATTATATTTGCAGTTGCAAGTAATAATATGTTTGAACTGTAGCCTGCCAGGATATTAGACACTTCAATTTATCTAAGTTATTCTTTACCGAATGTAGGTATAGCGTTTATGTGCTAGCTTCTATCTCCTAACTCCTCATTGGAGGACCTTAAATAGCCTTAAGAGGTGAGTATATAACAAAAGCAGACAGACAATGGAGAATTATTTTGGGATAAAATCTCCATGTAATGTAGTTTCATTCTGTTTTACTCATATCTTTCCCCGGTAATATTTGTCTTCTGTAGTAATATTCGCCTTGTGTAGTAAGTAATTTGCTCTTTCTAATATGATTCAATTAAAATGCTCACTTACAAATATTCCTTCTAATAGCCATAGGATATATCTATATAGATACTTACAACTCTATGCAAAAGGCTGCTCTGTTGTTTCCAAAGTAGTAGTGCTTAACATATTTTTTCTAAAAAGCAAATTTTTGACCAGTGATCTCTGGTATCGGTGGTTCATGCTATAGTATTAAGATGTTATCGGATGCAAGATATCAAGCTCCTTATACATGGTAAGTAAAAGGTAGAAATGCCATGGGTTTACTTTATGCTTCTTTGGGTGGTCAATACATTTATGTAATTAACATAACCACGAAAATATTGTGGTAAATTAGAGTTTGGTAGCAAGTAATTGATTGAATTTTGCCATGAAATAGTGTTGAAAAATTACTCTTTTATAGTTAGAGAATCCTGGATGATGCAAATAATCTCAGTACGGAGGTGCAAAAGTATGTGTTTATTGCCAAGGAATAGAATCTTGAATGAGGATGGAGGTTAAAGAAAGCTTGGTTTGTTTGTTTCTCCCTTCGTCTCTCTGATTTTGCTGATTGATAAGTCGGTGTGAGATTTGTCAGCGTCTTCTTCATATATAATTCCATTATTTTTTGGTTTTATCTCCTCATCTTATTCTTATTAATTATTTTCTGACTAATTAGATTTCGTTGCTTTCATCTTCATTGCTTGATTTGGGTAAAACTGTATTGGGTTTTGATTATTTTGTGAATGGTTAATTTTTTTTTTCAATGTTAATGATTTAACGTGGAGATTTAAAACAGATATGTTGCATTGTTACAGGGAAAAATTTTATGAAATGGAGGGAGAGTTTGTAATCTCATGGAGATGACAATCCTTTCTCCTTTTACTGTTGTGTTAATTATGCTTATACCTTTGCTATAGATTTCTGCTCAATTAAAAAAAAAGAGGTATATTAATTGTACTTTAATTGGTTTTGCAGCAAAACCTTAATTGTCATCTTTCACAAGGATTTTTTCTCTTTCAAATTTTCGAGATATTTATATTAGGTATGCCCCTTTGCTGTATCTGGTATTGCAGGAATATGCTGAACACATTTTCCTCGGTGGAAGTAATACTTCCTAAGTTTTTTACTATGATTGCAATTTTATATATAGAAACTCCACCAAATGCGTCTCCAACATGAAAAAGTTTGATCATTCTTCATATGCAAAGTTTTCATGTACAGAGCCATTTTCCTCTTTCTGTTACTCATTCTTAGTACTTTTTGTTGTTGTCAGCTTTAGTGCACGCACACAATATGATTTGTATGATGAAAACAAATTATTTGTAACATGAAGTTCATTAGAAAAGATTGTTGGTTCTGTAGGCACACTGTACAAGCGCCGCGATTTGAGAGACAACATGAGAGTCCAAAAATATGGCTACAGTTTCCACTTACCAGTAGAGCTACAACTGCTGTTGTAAGAAATTATCCTTTCTTTCCAACTCGTGGCTTTTCCTCAAAAGTTTGAAAATTATTTTCTTACTTTTTTGCTGGGATAATCTTATATGGTAATTATAACTCTAGCTTAGATTGCACGGATACTGTATTCAGTGGAAGAAAAAAGCAATATGGAATGCTAAGTTCATGTTCTTTGTTTTACCATTTCTCGATCTTTTTGTAAAATCTAGAAGTATGATATTGCAGGAACTAACTATTGTATTTTTGAGGAACTATTCTATTTATGCTACCTGCCCCAATCAACATTGAAATATAAGAGAAAGAGAGAACTAATTGAAAATCCATTCCAGGAGTTCTTAGAACTAGAAAGAAAGACGCAGTGATATTACTTTCTGTACTTTATCTAAAGCCTGGAAGGACATGAAATATTTAACACAAGGCAATATCCATTTTGGTACTTGAATGGCACGGCAGTCTATGATCGCATATAGCTGCAATATCTGTTTCTGAACTTGATATTACAGTTTTATCTTGTTAGCTACTTCGGAATATTATGCAGATGTCACATAATAAGCTCATATCAATACAGGTGCATCCTTATGCCAGAGTTGAAATATGGATCTTCGAATGCATTTAGCTAGAAACGAGTTCTTTGGCGTTCAAGTTGGATAAACTGTTCATGACTTTGCTATTATCTCAGTGTCAAGGTACATATCTTTTATGCATTACCATTCCCGTTCATTCAAATTTTCCATATCTATTGGTGCATTTAACCTTAATCTTTTGGTTAACAGAGCACATCCTGAAAATATTCGATGTAGTACTATAGAAGGAAGCTGGTTCTTTTTTCCTATCCCGCACTAGAGAGTAGAGATGATGTGAAGCAATTGTTACTTTGCTTGAGGACAAATAATATTGATGTAATTTGAAAATGCAACATTTAGAGAATGCCTTGTGATCTCAATGTGAATGAACTTTAAAATTACCAAAATGTAAAATTAGAAATGTAAGTATCTTATGTGACTGAGTTAGTTAGTGATCCATTTTCAAAGTTCATCTAGATGGGTAGATGGCCTTGTTTGCACTTGCTTATTACATGATCACTAAAAACTTGATCCTATATACAAAATTATGAAGCTAAAGGTTGTTTAAAGTAGTTATCTTAGTAACGAAAGGAAAATATTACATCAGGTCCCGTGCGTAGCGCGGGCACGCCCATCTAGTGTTTTAAACAAAGGAATCTTCTTTGTTTCATTAAGGGGTCATTTGGTTGACCGTAATTGCAAAGATAATTTCAATAGATAATTTTGTACAAACAAATTATTGTTAGTATGCTGTGCTCAAAACAGAAACAAAATTAAATAATATAAACTGGACGAATAGAAACGTTAGTTAAAACAAAAATAAATCTTCAAGCGCACAGATTGCACTGTGTATCTTTAATAAATTTCCCTCACTTTTTTCAAGTTTTTTGAAATAATTTCTCCCATGATAAAATAGAATGAGCTATTGTGTAATAGCGACACTTCAAATTATAAAACTTAGGTAAACTCAAAGACGGGAGTAAATTATATTTGACACTTCAAATCCAGCCTCACTTACATTTGACAGAATATTTGGAGTGTAACTTCAGCGGTGCGACCTAAGAAGCGGACGGGGATGTGATTCACTTATATTTGACAGAATATTTGGAGTGTAACTTCAGCGGTGCGACCTAAGAAGCGGACGGGGATGTGATTCACTTATATTTGACAGAATATTTGGAGTGTAACTTCAGCGGTGCGACCTAAGAAGCGGACGGGGATGTGATTCACAAGTCAACCCCAAGAGAGGGAGTTTCAAGTATCTTCAGTTAATTATTAAGGCGGATGGGGAGATTGACGGGGATGTCACATATCGTGTTGGGGTAGGGTGGATGAAATAGAGGCTCGCATTTGGTGTTCTGTGTGATAAGAATGTGCCACCAAAATTTAAAGGTAAGTTCTACAAAGCGGTTATTAGACTGACTATATTGTATGGGGTTGAGTGTTGGCCAGTCAAGAACTCTCATGTCCAGAAGATAAAGGTGGCAGAAACGAGGATGTTAAGATGGATGTGTGGGCATACCAGGTTAGATGGAATTAGAAATAAAGTTATTCGGGACAAGGTGAGCATGGCTCCAGTGGAGGATAAGATGAAGGAGGCGAGACTTAGATGGTTCACCCATGTGAAGAGGAGAGGCACAGATGCACCGGTGAGGAGGTGTGAGAGGCTGAAAATGGAGGGCCAACAGAGAGGTAGAGGTAGGCTGAATAAGTATTGGAGAGAGGTGATTTGTCACGACCCAAAATCACATAGTCGTAATGGCACCTAATCCTAATTCTAGATAATCCAAACATCGAACAAGGTAACTCAAAAGATAGATTATTAATAACAAGAAATAAAATGACTGAATTATGTACAACCTCCCAAGGATTGGTAGTACAAGTCACGAGCAACTATAATTTTGATTTACAAACTAAAATGAAGAATAGATATAATATCTGTTTGAAATTTTCATAAATAGAGTTTAAGTCCTAAACTACCATGAACAAGAGGTAGCTTGAATCAGGAACACTCGAACGTCTTAATTGCAACGCTTCATCATCCAAAGCTACGCGGCTCCATGATCTGCACACAAGGTGTAGAAGTGTAATGACCTGATAAGTCATTTTGAGTTTTAGCCTTTATTTCCGTATTCCGAGACCTTGATTAACTCCGTTTAGTATTCTTGATTTACGTGCGCAATTCATGTCTTTTTTCGAAAAGTTTTTATGTGAAAAAAACTAAAGAAAATATGAATTTTAGTCTTAAAAATGATTTGAGTTGACTACGGTCAATATTTTGTGTAAACGGATCTGGATCGGTATTTTAACGACCCTGATAGGTCTGTCGTGATTTTGGATTTGGGCGTATACCCGAAATTGAATTTGGAAGTCCACTTGATTTGACGTGATTTATTGAAAACTGGTAATTTGAACGTTTAAAGAATTTTAAAGTTTGCCCGTAGATTGACTTTATTGCTACTAGGTTCGAATTTTGGTTCCGGAACTTGGTATAGGTCCATTTTACTATTTAAGATTTGTCTGCAAAATTTGGTACAAAACGGAGTTGATTTGATAGGATTCGGACACTCGGTTATGGATTTTAAAGTTCTTGAGTTTCTTTAAAAATTTCATGCATCTTGATGTGTGATTCGTAGTTCTAGGTATTATTTTGGTGTTTTGATCACGCAAGTGAGTTCGTTTGATGTTATTACACATGTGTGCATGTTTGGTTTGGAGCCCGAGGGGCTCGGGTGAGTTTCGAATAGGCTACAGATCATTTTTGGACTTAACGATATGCTGGTTTTTGTTGTTGCTGGTGTCTGACTCTTTGTGCTTCGCGATCGCAAAGGCACTCTCACGATCGCGAAGGGGAACTTGGAGTTGGGGTGATTTCTTCATCGCGAACACGATAGCATGGTCGTGAATGCGAAACATTGGAGGGCTTACCTTCGCGAACGCGAAGGTTTATGGGATTCTGGGGGAGACAGTAAAGTATACTACGCGAACGCGAGCCTAGGCTCACGAATGCGAAGGCGCAATCGTGACCGCATAGTGTTCCTCGCGAACGCGAAAGCTACTCGGGCTGCTGTTCTTCGCGATCGTGGCAGGCCCTTCGCGAACGCGAAGAAGGACTGACGCCCAGTGATTTAAATATCCCAAAGTCGGTATTTATCCCAATTCTTACCATTTTCAAGCTTGAGCTCGGCCTAGAAGTGATTTTGAAGAGGTTTTTCATTCCAACTTCATAGGTTAGTAGATTTTAACTTATTTCCTTACATTTTCATAAACACCCATTGATTTTAACCTTTAATCTATGCTTTTTCATGGTAGAAATTAGGAATTATGAGAAATTGAGATTTAGACCTCAAGTTGAGGTTGGATCGAAACTAATCGCATAACCGGGCTCGGGGGTGAATGGATAATTGAGTTTTGGTCTGAATCTCGTGTTTTGACCAAACGGGTCCGGGGTTGACTTTTATTGACTTTTTCCAAAAACATTAAAGATTGAATCTTTTTCAATCGCGGGTAGTTTCTAAAACTTATTTTGAATTATTTGAACTATATTTGGTTAGATTTGACTGGTTTGGAGGCTAATTCTAGAGGAAAAGTCGCAGTTGAGCATTGATTTGGTTGCGGAATGAGGTATGTATCGTGGTTAACCTTGACATGAGGGATTAGAACTTGTTGGTCTATTTTTATGTGTTTTATGTGTGGGGACAACGTATATGTGAGGTGACGAATACCTATGTGGTATCATTGGGTTAAAGCATGCGGGTAAAAATTATTTCTTTGTATTATATTATTTCGTAAATTATGATATCCACGCTTAGGTTAGATTATTACTTCTTTGATTATTCGTTTCGTATTTATTGCTTATTTAAAAGTTGTTGAACATTTTGGAAGTTGAAGTTTGATATCATAGCATCATATTTGAAGTTAAATTATTCTCCGCATTATTTATTATTCGAATTCATATTATTATTGTTATATGGTGAGGAAGAGAGTAAAAGCACGAAGGGTAATGCCGTGCCATTTCATTAATATAATCATTATTACATGGTGAGGAAGAGAGTAAAAGCACGAAGGGTGATTCCATGCCATTTCATTCATATTATCATTATTACATGGTGAGGAAGAGAGTAAAAACACGAAGGATGATGTCGTGCCATTTCATTCATATTATTATTACATGGTGAGGACGAGAGTAAAAGCACGAAGGGTGATTCCATGCCATTTCATTCATATTATTATTACATGGTGAGGACGAGAGTAAAAGCACGAAGGGTGATGTCGTGCCATTATATTCATATTATTTCATGGTGAGAACAAGAGTAAAAGCACGAAGGGTGATGTCGTGCCATTATATTCATATTATTTCATGGTGAGAACAAGAGTAAAAGCACGAAGGGTGATGCTGTGCCATTTTCATATCATTGATTTGACTGATTTCCGATTTTGGTGATTTACTTGGTTATTTCGTGATTTCATACTTGCCGTATTTATCATATCTTTCCCTTTTTGCATATCCCCTCCCAGTTAGTACGTATCATTCTTTATTATTATTGTTGCTTTATATACATTTGTACATGTTTATTTACGTAGGTGTCTTGTCATAGCCTCGTCACTACCACGTCAAAGTTATGCTCGACACTTACGGAGTACATTGGGTCGGTTATACTCATACTACACTATTGCACTTCTTGTGCGGATACTGATATTGGTCCCAGCGGTGCGTGAGGTGCGTCAGCTCAGATCATTTCATACGGAGACTCGAGGAAGATCTGCTAGCGTCCGCAGACCTTGAAGTCCCCTTCCATTTCCCGCTTTTACTATTTATTTCTTTCGAAACAGTCGTATTTATTCAGACCTTGTTTGTAGACTTCTAGTTGCTTGTGTACTCATGACTCGGGATTCCTGGGAGTAGATATTATCACGTGATTTATATCAGTGTTAGATTCGGCTTTTATTTCTCGTTGAATATCATTATTGGGGTTTTAACTGTTAAAATTAATTAATTAATTATTTTACGTCGGCTTGCCTAGCAAGTGGATGTTAGGCTGTTACACCCTATATTTTTTTGTACGTAAAACTGCGTCGTGAGCAAACTAATGTAGGACCCAAAAATGAGATCATCTTTGAAAATATATAAAGCAAGTTAATCATGTTACCTCAAAAGTTACAAATATTGAATATCATGAACAACAAGTACAAAGAGGGTTGGAAGGTTTAGAAGCTAAAGGAATTGAAGAAAATAATGTTTCGTCGAAAGCCGACAAATTGGGAATGTTATAGCATGTACTTTTGGGATGAGACAAGGGTGTTTTACATGATAAGTAGGTTATGTTACGAGTTATGTTATTCGTATGATAGTCGTGTGTTATGTTTTGAAGTCAAGCGAGTGGTGGAACAAAAGTCGATAAAAGTCATCACAAGTTACGTTCATAAGTTTTACTGAAACTTTGGGTCAAATATAACTGCGATTTTATCCCAATAT